TGCTGTTTTTGTATGTGGTGGTGCATGCACAATGTATCCGAAATTGGGAACGAGTACTCGGATGAGAGACAGATTTATTGAGATGGGCATGCAGGCAATGTTCTTCATTTGACAGTATATGGCTGATAAATCGATCGCATGAATCAAAATTCTTGTTCACAATAGAGTCAACCAAAACGGTCTTTGAAATGCCATTTCACCGGGAAAGAAAGAGATCTGGAAAAGAGAACAAAGTCTTTCTGCTTTGAATCAGGAAAATATACGGGGGAACAGTACAATCAATGTTGAAGAATGCATGCAGTCCCAAATTTAAGAACTACGTCTGGGGGAACGCCGAGCTATTTTAAGCCTAAAAGCGAACAAAAGGATAGCCTACGAACCCTAATATAAATGTTCTCAACATGTTTGGATCAAGAAATGTTACGTGACAGAGTAACTCCAAGATATTTCATAGAGTTAGCTTTGGGGATGGTAGTACCGTTAACAGAAAGTTCAGGCTGATTATTCAAAAGGGTTTGATAATGCATGCCCGTTTCAAGGTTAAAAAACATCTAAACATTTCAGAATATGCCGATTTTAACATGAGAATACATATTTAGACATTTATCTACATTACGCATTAAAGATCGAGGAGTCCACCAACTAAAAATTTTATTTAGACAATCTTGAGGTTGGCAGAAACAATCAGGAACAGTTGAGGGACAGCCGACCACCACGTCATCAGCATACTTGCAGGCGATGAAGTTGGGAGGGATGGGAAAGTCCTTAATATACAGTGAAAAAAGAAATGGAGACAAAATAAAACCCTGAAAAACCCAAGAGTTAACTTCTAGATGGGAGGAAGATTTACCGTTACAAAAAGTGTATTGCGTTCCACGAGTGAAGTCAGTAATTGGTACATTCAGTAAATTAGGTGCCAGACCACAGTCCGAAAGACATTGAATGAGAATGCCGTGGTCAAATGATCCGAAAGCATTTGCATAATCAAGAAAAGTTAAACGGACAATGCCAGTCCCTTTATCCAATAAGGATGAAACGGAATGAACAACGTGAGCAACAGCATCAAGAGTGGAAAACGAATGTTTGTAAGCAAACTGAATAGGTTCATGGATGACAGATAAAAGGGTCAGCCGGTTAAGGACTCTTTTGAAAACTTTCAATAATGCTGATGTGCAAGCAATCGGTTGATATTCGGAAAGTCAAAGTTTTATTATGGACTATTTAACAAAGCTAAAGCTTATCATGCCCCACAGGAGTTTTACAGAATCTTTTGAATAACTTCACAAAGAGAAAACAACAATGATAATAATGTGCGTGATCATTCACGGATGTTAAAATTTCAAGTGTCCCAATGTTTGATCAAGTTGCAATTTAAATAGTTCAACAGTAGGAGCACACAATACATCAGATGGAAAGGAATTCCATACGCCGCACAGTCTGACTGCAAACGAGTGATGCCGGCAATCAGGGTGGCTGTTCTAGGTCTTCACCGTTAGTGGATGTCCCTTGAGGTGATCATCATGAGATAAAGTCAGCAGAGAACGGCAAGGGTGGTTGAGTTGATGCAGTATGTGGCATGCCAATATTAGGTCCCCTCGAAGTCGGCGGTATTGGGATGAGTAGAGTCCCAATATTTGCAGTCTTTCGAGGTATGTCTTGTTATATAGACCTTTTTACCAATTTCGTTGCCAACCTTTGCGGACGTTGGAGGGCCTTCTTGTCGCGGTTTAACCATGGATTCCATACTTTAACGGCATACTCCGTGTGTGGCCGAAAGAACGCTGATAACAAGCGTGGGAAAAGTGCTCTTTCGAACTGCCCGAAAACACGTCTGAATAGTCCAACTTGCTTTAGAGCCATAGATGATGCTCTGGCACAGTGCGTGGAACATCCTACGTCATCCCGCACCATAACAGCCAAATCCCTTTCCTCAGTGGCATGCGGTAGTATTTGGTTCCCCAGAACGTAGGAGAAACGATTCTTATGCCGCATGGAAAGAATTCTGCATTTGGAAACGTTGAACTCGATGTCGTTGGCGATTGACCATCTGTGGGCTGCGTCGATAGTTTGTTGAAGTGCTATATGATCCTCAGGATGTTTTACGGTTCTCCAGATCTTAACGTCGTCCGCAAATGGCAGTGTATTAGGCCCAAGGACATGTGGCAGGTCGTTTATAAATGCAAAAAAGAGACGAGGCCCAAGTACGGGTCCTTGAAGAACCCTCCGGTTAATGGTGATAGGCTCTGGTAATGAATCACCAACACGAACTGAGATGGTCCTTTGTCGGAGAAACTCCTTGATCCAGTCCAGAACCAAACATCTTACTCCGTAGTTGTAGAGTTTTCGCAGTAGAATTTAGTGGTCTGGTGGTTTGGAGAAGTCCAAATAAACTATATCCAATGGCTGGACTGCATCGACGGATTTTGTTCACTCAACCCGTGCAAGTAGGTTTGTGGTGCATGAACGTTTGTGCCGAAATCCGTGCTGGGTTGGAGACAAAAGCTCATGCTTCTTCAGATATTCCATCAACAGATCTGCCACAATAGCCTCCATGACTTTCGACGATATGGGAAGAAGTGTAACAGGGCGGTAGTTGGCTGGATCACTGCGGGATCCCCCTTTGTAAATGGGAGAAATCACCCCATCCTTGCATGACTGCGGAATTACTGCATCGTTGAACATCCTTTGGTAAAGAACAGCCAGCTGTTCAGAAATGTTATTGGCTAGCAACACCAGAGTCCGGGGATGCATGTTAGCTGCGCCTGGGGACATCCTGTTTTGGGGATTGGTGTTATCCGAGCTCTCCAACAATCACGGATGCTTCCAGATGACATACACAATCTGAACAACTCGGAAATAGGTGCAGCAAGTTATTCAGCACACTATCTCAGCAAGAAGGGGGACAATGAATCAGGGTGATGTGCATCCTTAGATTTAATGGACTTGAGCACATTCAGGACTTTCACAGGGGCGACAGATTAGTTCTCCCCAGTAGATGTAAATTAAGGTGGTGTTGAGTTCCGTACAGTAGCATCAGCGATTTGACGGTTTAACTCTTCAACATTCGGGAAAGATCTGTTGCGTGATCCACAGAGCTGCTTCAAGGCAGACCACATCATGGCAGTTCTGGTTTCTCATAAGAGTTGCGATAGATATCTGATTTAGGCGCTGTATTTCCATTTTTAATAATAGTGATAGATGTTTGACAGTACTGCGCCTTCCAGACCTCGAAAATGATCCTCAAAGGCCCCATGAGCAAGCCAATCTATTTGGCTGGAAGATGTTCAGCTGGAACTGGATTGTGCCTTCCCCCCCCCCCTCTCCTCTCAGGAAAAGCCC